ACAAAACTCCATGGAATCTGTCAGGTTGAAGTGGCCGTTTTTCCTCTCAATGCTTTAAAAAATGGCTAAAACATCACCTCTATGGTCAGGACAAGTCAACAACAGGACGTAGCCCCGCTAAATGGGACTGAGGAGGCTTTGGACGGATAATGCCATTGATTAATTTTTTTTTATCCTGCCAGGGTGGAAATGAGTTAGAAGTGTGATAGGTGAAGCCGGACTGTGAAGAAATATGAGCTACGAATGTAAGCTGTGGGTATGAGGCATATCATCAATGGCTGACATGAGGAAAACAGGAGACATGATATTCATATTTATGTCTATAAACGGATTTGAAGGAACTGACAATGATGATTTTCTAGCCCCCATAGAGTGGCATACACAGTACATAACTCTGAAAAAGAACTGACGAATGGATGTTAGAAAGTCTGTCTTCGCAGGCAGAGTGCAGAATAATATAATGGTTTGTAAGAGATACTAGTGATATAACCACTACACTGATCAAATACTGAAGAAGAGACACCGAGAGTTTATCTCTGCTCTTTTATTTACAAATAAGTAATTACACATACACACAAATCAATCACAACACACACAACCACACTACATACAGCCACACCACACATGCAAAAAAAACCCACCCACAGGCCAAGTGTCTATAGATAAGTGCCTCTGACAACTAATAACTACGCATACGAGGATCAGGTAAGACTACAAGGCTGAAACCCTGATGAGACAAATGACTCCTGGAGTTTAACCCCTCCAAATGCAAAGTCATGAAGTTTGGGGGAGGACAAAGAAGACCGCAGGTGGAGTACATGCTCGATGATCGAAGGCTACAAACCTTACTCAAAGAAAAGGATCTTGGGGTGAGCATAATAACGAACACACAGACAGTTCAACTGCCTCCCAGCATACATAAGGGGGATTACCAATAGACCCCTGGCTGTTTTCAAGCAGGCACTGGACAGGCACCTGAAGTCGGTACCTGACCAGCCGGGCTATGGCTCGTACGTTGGATTGCGTGCAGCCAGCAGTAACAGCCTGGTTGATCAGGCCCTGTTCCACCATGAGGCCTGGTCACAGACCGGGCCGCGGGGGCGTTGACCCCCGGAACTCTCTCCAGGTAAACACATCTCCTGAGGCGTAAATCAGCCAAATAACTGCTGCAGCATACGGGCGTCTGGCAAACCAAAGAATAGCGTTTTGACATCTAATTAAGGAATCATTCACGACACTACACACCGAGTACGTCAGGCTCATATCAGAGTATGCAGCAACAGTATGGAACCTACACATGGTCAAGCACGTCAAGAAATTAGAGAAAGTGCAAAAGTTTACAACAAGACTAGTCCCGGAGCTAAGAGGTATGTTCTATGAGGAGAGGTTAAGGAAACTCATCCTGACGACACTGGAGGAAAAGAGTGATAGGGACGACATGATAACGACGTATAAAATACTGAGAAGAACTGACAAGGTGGACAGGGACAGAATGTTTCAGAGACGGGACACAGGAACAAGGGAATACAGCTGATAGTTGAAAACTTAGATGAGTCACAGGGATGTTAGGAAGTATTTCGTCAGCCTTAGAGTTGTCAATAACTGGAACAATATGGAGAGTGATGCAGTGGAGACAGGGTCCATACATAGCTTTAAAAAGTATGATAAAGCTCATGGAGTGGGGAGAGAGTGAGCCTAGTAGCGACCACCGAAGAGGCGGAGCCAGGAGCTGCGACTCGACCCCTGCAACCACAAATAGGTGAGTACACACCCACGCGCACGCACACACACATACACACACACACACACACACACACACACACACACACAGCTGAACAAAGATCTTAAGGTTCTACAACCCCTGATTAGGCTGCAAGAAAGTCATAAGCAGCAAATTTAAGGTGTGTTAAATTCTCGTCGCTAATACATAGGAGGGCGCACCTAGCTGCAATCCCAGCTAATGGCTAGGACACAACGACCCTCCAGCATCCTTCAGTTAATTCATGGAAGTGCAACACTCTGGCAATTGGGTCTGTGAAATATGGCACACTCTACCCCGCCAAACGTATTTTGCAGGTGACTGTGGAGGCGCTGGTGCAGGAGGTGGGAAGGGGAATAGGGAGCAGGTGGGGGGGGGGGGGTGGATGGGGAGGGGAGGAGGAAAGGGAGCAAAAGGATGGAATGGGAGGAGGGAATCCCAGAGCGATATCCATGCATCAAATCTCAGTGTCAGGCATTGAAGGCGATATTAAGGACCAAGAGATGGATCATCAGTAAAGGCGACGAGAAGACATGTAAGGCCGCTAACGGTGTGTGAGGTGATGGGTGGTTCTTCACCAGGGGGATGGATAGGGGGGGAGGGAGGGAGAGTGGTCCTACTCATGGGGGATGGGGAGAAGACAATCCTTCACGCGTGGCGGACAATGAAACACCTGAAACACACCTTTGAATGAGAGCTGTGTGAATGCAGGCGGACATATAACACAGCCAGGGCAGAGAGGAACACCGCTCTCCGTCACATTACTGTTGTAAGAGAGTAGACGGATCGCTCCGTTTGTTCTAGTGTTTTATAGTAAGTGATGTGAGTGTTGTGGTAGAGGGATGGGTGATATCCGCCCTACCCTTCCCTCCCTCTCCAGCTCCTGTCTTCCTTTCCCTGCTGTTCGTCCCCCTCCATCCTGCTGCTCTCCCCTCTCCTGCCTGCCCCACCTGCTGACCTCCTTCCCTGCTGCAATCTCGTCTGCTGCAAGCCTCACCTACTGACCGCCCTTCCCAATGCCTGCCTCGCCTGCTGCCCACTTCATATGCTGACCGCTTTCTCTGCTGCCCGCTCTACCTGCTGTCCGCCCTACCTGCTGTCCACCCTACCTGCTGTCCGCCCTGCGCTACATCATCATTGCGGCAGTCGAGACAAATTGGTTCGCTTGTGTTATTGTATCCAGGATTATGAGGGATGCTTTGCCGCCGCCTCTACCATACGTGACCCACTGGTCGGGATGAGGGGAGGAGGCGAATGTGATGGTAGTGGTGGTGGTTACTGAATGTATTGGTGGAGGTGAATGTGATGGTTGTGGTGGTGGTGACTGAATGTAGTGGTGGTGGTGACTGAATGTAGTGGTGGAGGTGAATGTGATGGTTGTGGGGGGTGGTACTGAAAGTAGTGGTGGAGGTGAATGTGATGGTTGTGGTGGTGGTGACTGAATGTAGTGGTGGAGGTGAATGTGATGGTAGTGGTGGTGGTGACTGAATGTAGTGGTGGAGGTGAATGTGATGGTAGTGGTGGAGGTGTTTTTGATGTTGGTGATATTTTCGATATTTGACACCACTTTCTACCGAGTATCGTGCTTATTTTTTATTCAGCCTGACACCACATGTGGCCAGTTCGAGTCATTCTACTCTCGCAGCCAAGCTTAACCCCCGACCTTCTCACTGACTGGTCAATCAGGCTTGAGCATCAAGGAACATGCAGTACAAATTTTTACCTTAACTAAGTAAAAAACACAGCTCAGCCCCAATACAGGCTTGTTTAGCACAAACAATAGTTTTTCTTGGATACCCTGAAGGTCTCTATGTCCGATCTATCAGGCTGTTGCTGGTGCTGCTTTGGCCCCATATCTACAATACATAGTTATCATATGCATACAAATAACTCGCACTTTGGAGAGGGTAAGTAATGACGTTGAGGTCCGACTTGACTATTGACAAATCACAATGAAGTGGTTCAAGTCGGACGATCACTGACAAGTCACACATTAAAGTTTTATTTATCTGAGTTTTTGATGCCTCTTTTGTGAAGTGGGACATCGTTCGCATTTTCTAAAACCTATAGAATTTGACTTGAATCTAAGCTCTTTCTCAGAGGACACTGTGTGTTCGTGCTAGTGGTATTTTGCATTTTTAAAACACCGCATTCCAAAAATCGGGTTCAGGCGACGAGTCTACTGCAATTTTTTTTTTAAGTCTGTGTAGGATTTGCTTTATTGTCGGATATATGTTTTGTAGGTTCAGTAGAGTTTTGATAAAAATATGGTTTGTCAGTTTTCAGTGTCGCCTGGAGTGCTGGACATAGATTCAAACTGTTCCTTTAGGATTTCGAACATTTCTTAGTAACCTGTGTATGAACCGCCTTTCAGTTTTTTTTTTATTTTTTTTTTTGGCTTACACTTCATAAAAATATTTTTTTTCCTTGTTACTCCTGGTCTTCTGCTTGACATCACTTTGCTCCCTGCTTACCTCCCCTACACTTCCATCGCCACCCCTCCTTTACTGTCAGTACTTCCTCTCTACCATTATACCTTTACATCTGAATCACCACCACTACTTCCCTGCCAACACAACTCACTTTCCCTGCTTACTACCATCACTAAAGCCCCCGACATTCGTTCATTCCACCAACACTGCCTTCGCTGGGTCACCGCCTGGAAAAGACCCTGGCCGGGACAAGACCGGCGAACCTACTACTAACACTCTCTCACTCCTTCTTACCTGCTTCTACCTTTACTTTCTTGCCGCGATACCTCCTTATCACTGTGATTTATGCTGGTGTAATGTAGTCTTCCCAAGGTAACTTTATATAACTTTCATACACCCTTTGTAGGTAAATACAATTTCTTATTGTAAGGCAGAGTAAGCCTAACCAGGATGAAATTATGTTGAGAATTAACTTAAATAAGTCATGTTAAAAACTACTTTTCCTATAGAAGCAATTTAACTTGCATAAACCATACATGTTGCAATATACATATTATATATAAAATTTTTTGGTCTTAATGTGAATATTATGTATAAGCGCACTGTACCAGTGCGCAGTTTGAGTGGGAACACACGAGCACTTAGCTCACTCACCCCTGCCAGTCAGTCGTCTAGTGGGGATGGAAATCTTTAGCTGAAGATCATTCGCAGTCTCTGTGCGCCGTCAGGAGCTTTGCAATGTTGCAAGATTAGCAACAGATAGTAGGGAAAAGTTAGGTTCTGCAAAATCTAGGTTGTCTTGAGGATATTTATATTATTAATATTTGTTCATCTAATATCTGCCAGATAATCGCTTTTTGCTTATTTAAAAATATAATTCTTAAGGTGATATCATTAATTAAACATTATAAACCAGTGTTCTCCTGGTATGATAATATGCAAAGTTTCAAGCACCGCAACCACCTCCGTCCCTCGCTTGTCACTAGCATCAATCCTCACCCTCCTGATACTCACACCTCACCCTCCTGATACTCACACCTCACCCTCCTGATACTCACCCCTCACCCTCCTGATACACCTCACCCTCTTGCCTGACACTCACCCTTCTCCCTGATACTCTCCTTCCTGACATTAAAACTCCCACTATCTAACAAAACTCTCTCCGCATGCCAATAGTGCCTCCTCCCAGACCACCAGTGCCCCTCCCGGACCTCCATTGCCCCTCCCTGACCTCCAATGCCCCTCCCCTCCCACCAGTGCCCATCCTCTCCCACCAGTGCCCTTCTGCGACCATCAGTGCCCTCTCCCCGACCATCAATGCCCCTCCCCTCCCACCAGTACCCCCTCCCCGACCAGCAGCCCCGCCTCACCTGCTTGGGAAGTGGGGGACGAGCATCATCTTCTGACTTGGTTCTCTCAGCGGGGTCTCCACTGGCCTCTCCACCGTTGGTCTCCGTGCTGATGTCTCCACCCAGCTCACTAGCAGGCGTGCCTGCCGTGCTCTCCTCAGCCGTGCTGCACGTCCCGCTGTCCTGAGGAAGGAGGGACACGTCTCAGTACCCTGGTTTACTCAGTCCCATGACAGAGGTTACGATGGTAGTCGAAGATCATTGAGTGGGGTGGTGATAGTTATGGTAGAAATAGATATGTGAAGGTAAACAGAAATGAGGCAGTAGTAGGATAGGAAGGTGTTGGGGAGGAGGATAGACAGGCAGGATAGGAAGGTGTTGGGGAGGACAGACGTACCTTGAAGGAGAGAAAATGCTGCGAGAGAGTACGGACAGAATCCGGCAGCTATTTAAAGAGAGAATGGGAGAGATATAACTACATACCTTATTTTGTATTTTTGTGGTGGGTAAGGAAGGAAGGAGGATGGAGAAGGGGAGTTAAACAAAGGGAGAGAAGAGGTAATTTGGAGGAAGAAGTAAGGGAGGAGGGAGAAAAGAAATTAGTGTAGCTAATGCGGACATTTTGAAATTGGAAAAGAGATTGATGGGATAAGAGACGAAGGTGAAAGGCAAGTCCACGATAACAATGCTGGAGATAAAAAGGGAATAATACAGTTTAGAAGAGCTGTAAAGTCTTCGGATGTTCTTTCTATAATATAATAACTGGAAAATAATGTGAAAGGCTGAATTCACAATCAACTAAAGATTAAAATATGTGACACAGCTGAAGGCATCAACTACCAGCTGCAGCTGTACTCACCTAATTGTGGTTGCAGGGGTCGAGACTCAGCTCCTGGCCCTGTGTGTGTGTGTGTGTGTGTGTGTGTGTGCGTGTGTGTGTGTGTGTGTGTGTGTGAGAGAGAATCTTCAATCTGCAGATTTTTTCCAAGGCTTCGATTCTTGTGAAATGAAGAAAGCTGAACCTGTATTGTTCGTTGTCCATCTGTAAGATTCACTCCGTCAGCTACTTCTCAAAGACGTGTGGAGTTTTGTTGGTCCCTTAACTCACTGAGGTAGAAGTCTGTTGGAGAAGATGCTTCACTGAGCAGCCTTCACCTCAACATGCACCCATTCATTACACAGGACCATGACATGCCCTGGACACCACGCCCATGTGTCAAGCAAAGATAATGATGGAAGGGGTGGAAACGTGTTTGAGAGTTCGAAATGTAAAAGTAGGGAGACGAAGTTCACAATATGTATAAAGAGGGTTGAAAATATGAGAAATGGATGATCATGGTGCTGAAACAGGAGGTATAGGGGAAAATTTACAGCATACTGGATTGGATTATAAAATTTTAGGGCTAACGGAGTTCAGCATAATGTGAGTATAAGGTGAGTATAATGTGATTACAGGATGAGTATAATGAGAGCTTGAGAGATCATTACAGGGATGAGTAGATCGTGAAAGGTCTGGATAAGTACATGGGGGAGCTGAGTATACCATGTCATCAAAGCGCATCAAGGAGGACCTGAAGGGCACTAAATGTGCCTAAGGGACAACAATACCCGAAGGAAATCGGGACTTGCTAAAGAACATGAAAAGTATCTGACGGAGGCCAGGCGTACCTAAAGAACAACTAAGGTACATCATGAGTACCTGTGTTACCTAGGAAGGAGTTTGACTGACCTGTAGTGTGTCCTTGGAGCCCAGCTGGTAGATGTTGACCATGTGGGCAGCCTGTGCATGAACCATCAAGTCCCAGGCAGAGGCGAAGTTTTCCTTGCAAAGCGCGCACAGCAGAAGAGCGCTCTCCTCTGTACCTGCCGAAGCAGCAGCCACAGTCAGATGGATCACGGGTAAGACGCAACAAAGATAAGGGCATCATTGATTAGGCAAGAGCATCTCATCATACCACAGTTAACTTCACCATATTATAGTCAAATACATGACAACATGATCATGTACACCATAACACATGTCGGTACTTCATAGTACAATCCTTCCATAATTAACCGAAGCATTGGCTATAAATCATTATAAGACGTTTCAGTCGGTTCTCGATAATTATCAGGTCACGACAATTTGTGATCTGATAACAGTTTAACAGAGACCGAAACTTCACCTAAAGACTGATCTCTAATCTGTGTTAATTGTGCTGTTTTCAGCCACGTTACTGTGACTCTTAGTCCGTCTAGTGTACTCATAACGAAGAAGGTGTGATCTAACTTAATACTGAGTCTTGTTATTCCGTACAACAACAACAGCATTAGGTCTCAACACTAACAGCTGCATGCACTGTGTAAACATCTAATATTCAACTTGTGGCTATCGATTATAACATTAATAGTATTGTGTATCATCAATAACATCATCAGTCAATAACATCATCATCAGTCTTCAACAGTCCAATATGGCGAGGTAATAGAGAATTGAAAAAACGTACATGAATTAATAGAAAATATGTACACAAATGAACTGACACCACGTACGTATATTTCAGAAGTAAATACAACCTAATTTAACATTGTATTCGCAATGTAAACACAATACAAAAGAGTACCAAGAAAAAAGTGAAAGATACCAGTGGTATCTGTGACCGGTTTCATAACCTCGCTGCCCTGTCTACACGCGGTCCGCAGCCACAAGCTGGCTGACCCACCATCAGAAGAATCTTGTCGACCTTTCCTCTTGAAGATTTCTTCTTATATTCCAGCAATAATATTTTATTCTTTTTATATCTGCTGACAGAAGGTTGAGAGAGTCTTGAGGTACGGATGTCAACAATTGTTTTTATAGTAAAAATAGTGTTGATAGCGTCCTTACTCTTTACTCCGGGTTTTTCTAATAGGCATGGGAAATGCTAAACCAGTATGGGTTACAGTGCACGGGTTGGGGGGGGAATGGAAGGCAATCAGAACTGATTCAAGGGAAGGGAAGATCCAATGCCTCGGATGAAGAGCCACTCATCGGCATCAATGGATACGTCCCTTGAAAAAAAAGTGTATCACTCTGGTAAGTTGACACGAGTGTGGAAATCAGGAACCTGATCATCGTATATTTTCCACTTAACTGTATTCAGTATATTATCTTCTCGTCTACGTTCCACAGAGTACGTTCCGAGTTCTGTGACCTTAAAAGTTCCATTGAATCTAAGCGGGTAGTAAATATCTCTATTATATTTTCCAGCTGGGATATCTCCTCTTTCTTGATCAGAGTTGTGAGATCCAAACAATATCGTCGAGGTGAGAGCACAAATGCTCTCAAAAATAATATCACTGGCATTTTTCTCTTTTCATCTAATGCTTCTGAAAACACAACCTTTTATTCTTATCTCAGCTGCATTTACTGTTTTCTCTTACCGCCAGATCGTCTGACATTGTTATTCTCCAGCCTTTACCTGTTCCTTCCTCTGGAGAATTCTGATCAATAAATTTTTACAGGATCTAAATGAAGTTAAATGTATAAAAAAATTGTGTGGGTGGTGGTTATGCTCTTTCTTCTCTCTTTTATCATGGACTTCAGATTAATGGAAAAGGTTTGACTGTTTTGTATTCTCTGTTTATTTTGAGATTAATCCCCACATATGAACATTTAAGAATAATTTTCTCCAGTTCTGGTTGCACACTACAGCCAATTGGAGATTTTGGTATGCTGGTATTCTCATACACTCGAAACCACGAGTACATATATAAAAATATTACATACTAATACCATAAGAATTCATGACAATAATATTACAGAATACATGTATATATGTATGCATGCTCTCTCTCTCTCTCTCACTCTCTCTCTCTCTCTCTCTCTCTCTCTCTCTCTCTCTCTCTCTCTCTATATATATATATATATATATATATATATATATATATATATATATACATGTCGTGCCGAATAGGCAGAACTTGCGATCTTGGCTTAAATAGCAACGCTCATCTTGCCATATAGGACAAGTGAAAATTTCTGTATGCAATAATTTCGCCAAAATCATTCTGAACCTAACGAAAAAAAATATATTTCACTGTGTTTGTTTAGTATTAAACTTCTGTAAACAAATCTAAAATATATTTAGTCGGGTTAGGCTAAAATAAATTGCTCTTGTTATAATAAGGTTAGGTAAGTTTTCTAAGATTCTTTTGGTGCAAAATTAAAATTTTTTACATTAACATTAATGAAAAAATATATCTTTAAACGTATAAGAGGAAATTTTAGAAAGGACTTAATTTTAAATGAGTTCTTGCTAATTGACCAGTTTTACATATTCGGCACGATATATATATATATATATATATATATATATTATAATATATATATATATATATATATATATATATATGTGCAATAAGATCACAGTAAACAGATGATTTTAAAATATGCAAAACAACCACTGTGAAAGAGTAGTGAAATTCCAAGCGCTTTCGTGACTACTCACATTGTCAAGGAACTATGAGAGTAATACATCAAAGGAAGGCAATTAAAGGGCTTAGACCACACCTCACAGTCAACTCCCACAACAAAGAAACACCTGACGCGCGACAATACAGGACTCATAAGAAAAGAGGAACACTGCAGTAGGTCCGCTGGTCCAACTAGACAGGTCCTCACGACATCCCACTAACAAATTATTCTACCCAAGAAATAAGGTTTATTATTTGTCCAATGTATTATTAAACTCTAACCAAATTTTATTAATTATAAATGAATCTAATTTATATAAACCTAAGGAAATATTCACATTTTTTCAAAACTGCTTTTTATGAAGCAAGATTCAATTATATTTCTGTCAACCATGGACTTGCTTGATACAACTTTCTCAACTTTTTGAAAATCAATTGGATGGTTAAAATCTCTCACGTGAATAAATAGAACACTGGAATCTTGTCCAGTTCTAATGCTATATTTATGTTGTTTTAATCTAAGTTCGAGACTTTTACCAGTTTGACCGTAATAAACTTTATCGCAAAGTTTACAAGAAATCTTAGACACATCCGTCAACATCTTGGGGGGAATTCTTTATCAAAAGTTTTTTTTACTGTATCAAGATTTTTAAATACAACATTAATATTAAAAGTCTTAAGAAGAGAAGGCATATCAACCAAGTTTTCATGGTAAGGGAGAACCAACATATTTTTAGTTGAATAAGGTTGGTTGTCCTTTTTTGGGTTGTAAAAAGTATTTCTAGCAATTTTAAATGATTTATCAATTACATTTCTCGTGTATTTCAGATCAATGGCTATTTCATAAATTTTGGATATTTCTTCATTTATGAACTCTGGACTACAATTACGTAAAGCTCTCAAAAACACTGATGAGAAAACAGACATTTTAACTTTATCTTGATGGGAAGAATAATAGTGGACATAGGAACAGTTATTTGTAGATTTTCTGTAAATTTTAAATTTGAATTCATTATTACTCTTAATAATTAAAACATCTAGAAAAGGCAATGAGTTATTTTCCTCAAACTCAACAGTAAAGTTTATAGAATGGGCTATTTAATTTGCCAAGGAAATGGTGTATATCTACATTCTTGGGCACAAGACATAAAATATCATCAACATATCTGAACCATTTTGCTCTATTAGGGAGGATTGTGTTAAGCAATCTTATTTCTAAAAATTCCATGTATAGATTACTAAGAACAGGTGAAAGAGGATTTCCCATTGCCATACCAAATTTCTGAGTGTAAAACTTATCATTAAATACAAATTTTGCATCAACAATGCAAAGTTTAATAAGTTTAATGATGGTAGGAACTGGCAATGGTAAATCATAGTTAACGAGTTCTTCAGATAAGAAACTTAATAAATCATCAATAGGAACTTTCGTAAACAAGGAAGTAACATCAAAACTAACCATGTTAAAATCATTTAAGTCAGTCAAGGAGCTTAATTTATCAACTAAATCTAAGTTGTTTTTAACATTAAAGTTAGAAATTTTACCAACAATAGGGCTCAAAATGTCAACAAGCCATTTGGATAATTTATACGAAACTGATCCTATGGAGATAATAATTGGTCTGATTGGATTACCTGGTTTGTGTTTTTTTTATTAGTCCATACATGTAAGGTAAAGATGGATTAGTGGAAGTAAATTGTTTAATAAATTCATCTTTGCCTTTTAGTAGAAGTTTTATTTTTCTATTGAAATTACTGTTAACGGTTTCTAAGGGATTCTTTTTAAGTTTAGAATAGGTTTCAGTATCATCTAAGAGATTATTCATTTTTTCATGGTAATCATTTTCTTTCATAATTACTATTGCAGACAAAATAAATGCAATAGTAATTATGAAAGAAAATGATTACCAAGAAAAAAATAATAATCTCTTAGATGATACTGAAACCTATTCTTAACTTAGAAAGAAACCCTTAGAAACCGTTAACAGTAATTTCAATAGAACAATAAAACTTCTACTAAAAGGCAAAGATGAATTTATTAAACAATTTACTTCCACTAATCCATCTTTACCTTACATATATGGACTAATAAAAACACACAAATCAGGTAATCCAATCAGACCAATTATTAGCTCCATAGGATCAGTTTCGTATAAATTATCCAAATGGCTTGTTGATATTTTGAGCCCTATTGTTGGTAAAATTTCTAACTTTAATGTTAAAAACAACTTAGATTTAGTTGATAAATTAAGCTCCTTGACTGACTTAAATGATTTTAACATGGTTAGTTTTGATGTTTCTTCCTTGTTTAAGAAAGTTCCTATTGATGATTTAAGTTTCTTATCTGAAGAACTCGTTATGATTTACCATTACCAGTTCCTACCATCATTAAACTTATTAAACTTTGAATTGTTGATGCAAAATTTGTA